GGCCTTTCTCTTGTCTCTGGGGGCTCCACTCCAGGGAAATGCAGAGTTGCTACCAATCAGTGTAATCGGCCAAGGTTGGGGTGGCTGCACTGGGGACCCAAGCTGGGGACGCCCTACCTGATTACAAGCAGGGAGAGTGGGTAGGTCATAGGTCATAGGGTAGATAGACTGACCTCTTCTCCTGAGGGCAACTGCAGCTTTCTAGAAGTGTGGTTAAAGCACTCAGGGTCTTTGTGCCTTTCCCAGTCTGAGGGCAGCAAGAGCAGTACCACTCTGCAGTGGCCATGGGAGTGGGCCTTCAGTTGTCTCTGGGACCTCTGTCTCAGAGAAACACAGAGCCCCTGCCACTGGAAATGTTCAGTCAGGGGATGAGACAAATGCACTGCTGGCCTGAGCTAGGGGCCCTGCTTGGTGAAGAATGGAGGTTCAAGAGCTTATAGGGAGGAGAGACTGAGCTTCTCCCTGTATGGTGGCTGTGGTGTACTGGGAGCACATGTGAAGCCCTCAGACTGTTTCTTCCCTGTACCAAGGGCAGCAGGAGCAGAACCACTGCTGTGGCAATGACAAGAGGGGCTGTTCATTGCCTCTGGGAGCCTTCACCAGGGAACCTCAGAGCCAGTACCAGTGGGTGTGCTCTGCTGTGATGAGGAGGCTGATCTGTGGTCCGGAGCCAGAGGCCCTGCCTCATGAAGAGTGGGAGGCCTGGGCTCACAGGGAAGAGGGTCTGGATTCCCCTCCTTATGGTGTGTAGTGTGCTGAAGGTGCCAGTATAGTGACTAGGCCCTTTGTTCCTTCCCCAGCCCCAGAGCGGTTAGGGCGGTACCACTGCAGCTGCAATAGCAGAGGGATTGTGGGTTTTCTCTGGGAGTTCCTGCTCTGAGAACTGCAGAACCACCTCCAACGGACAAGTTCTGGTGGGGACAGGGTAGTTGTGTTGGGGTCCCAGGTCACAAGGGCCCCCCGGTAAGGAGAAACAGGATCGGAGACCTGTGTGGAAAAAGATCTGGCTGCTTTTTCCACAGGGCAGCTGCATGGTGCTGGGGATCTGCACCAGTCCCTTGTCACCACGCACCCTCTGGAAGCCTGAAGGCAACAGGGGCGAGGGCGGCAAGACAGCAAAAATGGCGGCTTGCCTCTGTGGGCACACCGTCCCAGGAAAACATGGAGCTGCTACCTGCCCAAGAGATGGCTCTTACTATTTTCGGGTATATTCCTCTGACGACTAATCTGGGTTATTATCATGAAGGCAAGTTGATTTTATTTGCATCTGTTGAGATGATCATTCGGGTTTTGCTTTTAATTCTGTTTATGCGGTGAATCACATTTATTGAATTGTGTATGTCAAAACAGCCTTGCGTCCCAGGAATAAAGCCTTCTTGATCATGCTGTATGAACTTTTTGATGTGCTGCTGGACTCAGTTTGCTGGTATTTTGTTGAGGATTTTTATGGCTATATTCATCAGGGATATTGGCCTGAAGTTTTCTATTTTCATTGTGTCTATGCCAGAGTTTGGTACTAGGCTTATTCTGCTTGACTCTTGACCAGCAGTGCATTTGGTAAAAGATGAGATAAGGTTACCTTGGGTAATCAAAGGTATCAAAAGGTAAGAGGAAGAAAAATATATTGCATGCCGAACACTTAAATATAGTATTGCATTTAACCTTAATAACAGCCAATCTGGTGTTCATTTCTCTGCTTAGTCAGTTATTACTTTGCCGCCATCACCAAATCACTTAACTCTAATTTGGTCCTTTTATTTCCTCTTCTGCAGAATAGAGACTAAAAATACCTATATTGTAGGATCACAGTGGGAATTAATGTGCATAATGTCTGGGAAACACTTATAAGGGCGCTTATCACATGATGGATAAATAACTGATAGGAAATAGGATGATAATAACTGTGATGTTGGTCATAAGCTCTTACTACTCAAAATGTGTCTCCAGGGCCAGCAGCACCAGTATTACCTGGGAGCTAACTAGAAATTAGGAATTTCAGGCCCCACCTCAGACCTCCCATCTCAGAATCTGCATTTTAAGGAGATCCCTAAGTAATTCATGTACACATAATATGTTTGAAAAGCACTAGTATAGAAAAATGACTCTGAGATTCAGCAACTTGGCAGAACTCATCTAGTGGTAAACCAGACAGCTGGAAACTGCTAAGGCCAGCATCGTTCTCTTATATCTCTAAGGGTATCTGTGATTGGAGGTGTTCAGGCTTCCTGAATCCCATTGTGATGTTCTTCTGTAATCCAAGCTATAAATGAAAGGCTTTTTACAAACATGTTTTCGTGTCTACCACAGTAGCAAGAACACCATAATTTTGTTTTATTTTTCACATTTTTAACTATTCAGCTGTTTTATTTGTCACCATTTAGTTAGGGAATTATCACAAAACTTATGTCTAAAATGCATCTGATTAATGCGTATTTAGGCAGCTAAGCAGATGTAGAATTGGTTGACTGCTATCATAAAATTAAACACTGATGAAACATATATTTGCACAGCAATAATGATCCTGGCATTTGTGTAAATATAACAGATCTATTTCCCTAATCATCTAGGGAAAAAAAATGAGGGGAGGGTGACAGAATTACCAAATATGTCTGGCTTTCTAGGCAGATCATTTTCAAGTACAATTTTTTTTCATGTGAATAAAATCATGTTAATTAACAGCATCTATTACCACTTTAAAATGAAATAATATATTTGAGCAAAAACAATGTAGATAATATCAGAAGCATGTTTCCAGGTCATGTTATAATTTCCAGAGCTTCTTTGTACATCGTGGAAGGTGCATGTTTTTAATATACTCCTCTATAGTGCCATAGTTTGCTTTTATACAAAATGTGTCCTGAGATTCAAGCCTAAGTAAGATATATATTTTTCCCCAATTTTAGCATCTCTGAAATTTAAATCTGTCTTACAATTGATGGCATATCAACACTGATTAGCAGCAGTTTTTCTTCTTTTTTTGTAATCAATGGAATATTTGATTCAATTAGGGGATTAGGATTCCCAGTAAACTGAAACCTAGTCCACAGGGATTACCACGGTGAGATAGTGGAAAACAAGTGGAACAGGATGAATAGCTCATGCCTATGAGCGTTCAGGCAAAAAGAGAGGCCAATAAATAGAAGTAATGAAATTAAGTAAGAAACGATTTCATAGATTTCTATTTCCACAGAGACAGAAAGAAAAATCAAGGAAGATGAGCAAATTTGGCAAAATAGCAAGAAAGAAGAATAGGGAGATATAGGAAAAAAAAGGAGAGAGAACGAAGCATCAAGGTGGAAAATACAGCCAATAAGCCCACTATTGTGGTCATTATTTCCTAGGTGTGGTATCCTGTGGTAGACATTCAACTTGGTGCTCCTTTTCTCATTACACACACCTGATCAGTAGTGGCCCTAGAGGGTAGGATGAGGCAGTTGTTTTTGGCACATTGTAGAAGGTGTTTTCTCTTCTCTAGCCTGCACAGGTAGATCCACACCCCTTCCTGTGCTCCTGCCCTCCCGCAAACTCTGTACATACTTCTCTTTCCTCTGCCTGCTGCATTTCACCCAGCCCCAAACCACCAGAAGACATACAATGATTAACACTTCTGTTTGTTCTTTCAGGTGATATCAAGACTATCAAACAAATCTACGGTCTCACAGGTATGGCTTTTGTTAAAGAGCAAAATATTTATCTAAAATCTGGAGGATTACCAATAAATCTGTCTTTCTCTTCAGAATTTCATGTATTTATTTTTTACTTTCCCTACTTGACTTTCCAATGAGAGATGTGGCAACTGATTTGCTTGAGTTTGAGTGTAGAGGAGAATTGAAACTCATATTTCTATGGAAACATTTTATAGTTATCGTTATAAAGCAGTTTGTTACCAAAACATGCCAAATGTAAAGTCCTAAGGTGTTGATCTTAAAAGTACTTTCATTGCATTTAAAATTGGTAGTCAGACTTTTTCTTGTAAATGTCAATAATGCTAAAAATATGGTTGAGAGATATTCTGGAACCATGTTTTATGATTCAATGAACTTTTAAAACAGTTTCAACTTTTAAGAACTCTCTAATTTCAAGAAAAGTTTCCCGAAAAAACTGATTCGTTAAGATTATTAGCTAGACTTTTATTACCAATAATCCTGTGACACAGAGGCACACAAATAGATCAAATTACATAATGCATTATGAAGACATTAAGAATTTACTGAAGATGATGGTGGAGAAGGGTCAAATAGGGTTTTTTTTGTTTTTTTTTTAAATTATACTAAGTTCTGGGTTACATGTGCAGAACATGCAGTTTTGTTACATAGGTATACCTGTGCCATGGTGGTTTGCTGCACCCATCGACCCATCACCTACATTAGGTATTTCTCCTAATGTCATCCCTCCCTTAGCCCCCCACCCCCGACAGGCAACGGTGTGTGATGTTCCCCTCCCTGTGTCCATGTGCTCTCATTGTTCAACTCCTACTTATGAGTGAGAACATGTGGTGTTTGGTTTTCTGATCTTGTGATAGTTTGCTGAGAATGAT